ACGAACACGAACGAGTTACGAACGAACACGAACAAGCTTTTTGTTAATCGAACGAACACGAACACCATCCGTGTGTCGTTGAACACAAACACGAACACAAACAATCAAAATGCTTATCGAACGATTTGCAATGGGCCTGTTCGTTCATGTTCAGTTCGATTGCAGGCCTAAACAGTGCAGGGACCTCAAGGCAACAAGTGAAGACATCACAGCAAACAGACAATAATCAGTTTGAGGTGGAGTCAACAAGGCAACAGGAGCGAGACAATACTGATGAACCAGAATATGAAACTGGACACACTATAACCAATGCTGAACCTGATGGTGAAATGAAAGTGAAGAAAACTTTGAGAGTGACCAACAAACTGATCTGGCTCTATACAACTGGCCAGAGATAGAACCAGAAGGGATATAAGAACCCAACAAGGTTCAGTTATACAGACCTCATCTACACAGCCCTGCTGGCTGGAGTAGAGATCCAGAGGACAGAACCTGACTCCTATGAAAGAGCAGTCAACTCAAAGGACAAGAAACATTGGCTTACTGCCATGAATGAAGAGATGGACTCTTGAGGCAGAACAAAACTTGGATTCTGGTTCCAAAACCAAAGGATGTCAAATGGTAGAACTGAAGTGGCTGTACAAGCTAAAGGAGGGCATAAACAAAAAATGATCACCAAGGTATAAGGCTAGACTGGTAGCCAAAGGTACACCAGCGAGCAGGTATAGACTTTAATGAAATTTTCTCATCGTTGTTAAATTTAAAAAATAAGATTGATGCTATCTATAGTAGCCCATTATGACCTTGAGTTAGAGCACTTAGATGTAAAAACTGCATTCTTGCATGGGGAATTAGAAGAATAGATTCATATGAGTCAACCTATAGGGTTTAAGGATAAAAGGTTCCCTGATCATGTATGTTTGTTGCATAAATCCCTGTATGGTCTCAAACGTCACCTAGGCAGTGGTACAAAAGATTTGACTCCTTTATAGTAGGCATAGGGTTTACGAAACTGAGCATGATAATTGTTTCTATTTTGCACATGCGAATACAAATCCTGTATACTTGTTATTATACGTTGATGAATGCTATTAATTAGTAAATCTAAGGCCCAAATTGAGGATTTGAAAAGGAAATTGCATGCTGAATTGACATGAAAGATTGGGTTGTGCTAAGAAAATTTTAGGTATGTAATAGAAAGAAAAAGGAAGAATTACAGCCTAAAATTGCATCAGATGCCTTATCTGCAAAAACTTGTGTTAAATTTGGAATGAGTGACTCTAAGTGTACCACAATGCCCCTAGCAAGTCACTTCATCCTTAGTAAAGCCCAAAGCCCTAAAACAGAACCTGATGGACTAAAAATGGAAACAAACATATGTAAATGCCATTGGTTCTGTTAGTACTCTATGATCAGTACAAGACCTGATTTATCTTATCAATATCACTTCTAAGTAGATTCATGTCTCACCTGGGTGTGATCACTAGAATGCTTTGAAATGGCTACTAAGATACATTAAAAGTATAGAAAATGTTGGTCTAAACTTTGTAAAAGAAACTCCAACTTGATCTGGTTGGGTATGTAGACTCTGATTTTGCAGGTGATAGAGTTCGCGGAAATCCACCACAGATATCAGTTTACTCTGGGAGGAAACTGCATCAGTTGGAAGTCCCAACTGCAACCACTGGTAGCTTTGTCCACAACTGAAGCTGAATACGTGGCTGTAACTGACGCATTCAAAGAAGCCATATGGCTACAAGGATTCTGAAGAGGCCAAGCTGCTGGATGGAACTGTGACAGTCTATTCAGACAATCAGAGTGCCATCCATCTGGGAAAGAATCCCGTGTACCAGAGAGAACAAACATGTTGACGTATCATTTTGTGAGGGAATGATCTCCAAGGAGAAGTGAACCTGCAGAAGATCCCAACTGAAAACAACCCGGCAGACATGGGAACCAAGGTTGTGACACTTGCAAGTTCAAGCACTGCTGAACTATTACATGTGGGATAACCAAAATCAGAACTAAGAAGGAGTATGAAAATGCTCGCTGCTCAACTAAACTGACTTTGCTGAAACGACTTCCACATACTTCAAGGTGGAGATTGTTAAATAAGTGAAGCATACGACGTCGTTTAACCAGGAAACAAAATGCTGTCGTTTTGTTCAATATTCCAAATGAATCTCAGCCATCAACGATAAAGAGAATCCAACGGCTCAAATGCACAGAAGTCAACAGATATAAAGGGGACTATCACGCATTTGAGGGAAATCGGGTTTAGGTATTCTTTTGGTTTTTCTCTGTAAAATTCGTTTGGTCTGGGTTAGGGTTTCATGCTCATTCTGGGTTTCTTCTCTGTGTGAATCTATCTAGAGTTGTGTTTGAGGGCAGGGGTTCCTTGAAGGTTATAGAACACTTAGGGCTATTAGGATTTGCGGGATACAGGGAAGTGAGTGAGTGTTTGTTTCTGGGAATATCAGTGAAGAAGATTCTTCTATAAAGTGTAATCTTTGAGGAAATCAATACTAGTGCAGCGAGCTCCATATTCTGGAGTTCAACGTGGATGTAACTTGTTCTTAAGAACAAGCGAACCACGGTATATCTTGTGTGTGTTTGTGCTTTGTTCTTGCAGATGGTTTGGTTTGTGGCTAATCTTGCAGGTGAAGGTTGATATTGATTTACAACAGATAGTAACTCTGAATTTTTTTAGATGCACAGTGTCAGTTTAATATGCAAACATGAAGGCTTGTAACTGGTGGCTATCTTTTTATTTATTATTTTGTTTTTGTTTTTGTTTTAATGTGAATATTCTCACTTGAACATAGCCAAATAGAATATATAAATTCTCAATCTTACCTGTCTTTCACGTTTAGACATGAATTTGGTTTCATTGTTGTCTCAGGTGCAACCCTATTGAGCTATAAAAACAAATTCAAATGGCTCCTTCTCGCAAGATCAAACATAAGGAGGATCTGAGATTCTTCGCATAGTGTCAAATGACTCGAAAGCAAGTATGATTGGATCTAAACTGGCCACCTGATCATTAAGTCTATGGTGGTATTGCAGCTGGAGACGACAGTGAAAAAGTTAGGATAGGTTTACTTTCAATATTCCCCTTTAACAAGAGAGCGATGACTTAAATAAAAGAAATATTCCATCTGTTCACTTAGCATATATAATATAATATATTTATATATGATAGGAAGGGGATTCCACTCAACATAATTGTTTAATCTATTAATGATGAGAAAATTAAGTTTCAATCATTATATACAGGAGAATTTAGCTAGTGTTCATTATTACTATACATATACATATACTATTTTCAGATCTATCTATGCATTTAAAATGACCTGGAGAAGTCAGAGTAGCTTTAGCTGGGGGGATTCCATTGGAATGCCACTTCTCGCTAGATATATGCAAAATGATAGTTAATTAGGTGAGATGTGTACTTCTTCGATTGAGATATAAATAATTTTTTTGGTGGCTAGTTAGGGTTAGTATGTACCCACCTTATATTTAAATGATAGTCCAATAAAATCAATTATCTCATGATATATATATTAATTTTTTACATACCTAATTATCATTGTAGTCAGTCATAATTTTTAATTGAGGATAATGTCTATGTTACAAAATTCTATCGAACAAAACTAGGAAATGTCATTGTACACTGGCCGTGTCTTTGAGTTATTATATGACAACACTTTCTCTTGCACTAGTGTCATGTCGTGTATAGTGAAAACAAGTCATTAAAGCAAAACTTGTACGTGTAATATTAGTAAAGAAAACGATAATTACAGGAGAAAAAGAAGCCATTACAATCAATGCACTCATCAGACTGGACGAATAAGTCTGTTTATAAATGAATCTAGCTTAACTCCATAACTCAAGGAGCATCACTAATTTCATAATAATAATAATAATCAAGATAGGAGTGGGTCGTTGTCCTAGAAATAAATTTCAAAATCTTAACATTACATCGCCATCCCCATTATGCAGGCATGCATTTTAGTTTTCCATCAATGACTTGAGAAATCTAAAGTTTATTTCTATGTGGCACACGTCAAACTAAATAAAAAGCATGCGCAAACATGAAACAAGGAGAAGATATATTAGTAATTTATGGGTCATTCTCAGGCTGTCAATCTCAGCACAAGCCGAAGGCATTGTTACTTAATGAATTCTATTCGATTAAATTATAAGTTCACCTTCCACAGTGATGCGATTACCACTACAAGTGAGATGCTTTCAGAGCACCGAGTTAGTCTCCATCATTAAGTTTATGAAATCAATCACTTCCCTCTTTAGACTTTTAAACTCAAGCTTTTGTTAAAGCATACTTAACTTAAACCTTAAATTTCTGGACAAGATAATCATAAACTAAAGCTATACTTGTTCTCGTGTCTCATTTAGATGTTTGCATGGTCCCAGTTTTTTCTTTCTGTTCTCCGCTAACAGTTTGTGGCCGGTGCACTTCCACCTCCGCAACTGAAAAGAAGACCTGTTAACTACGATACAGAATTGGTACAGTTGCATTGGTATTTTGTTTCACTATTAATAATCTGTATTCTAATACAGTAACACTCAGTTGAAGCACACCATAATTATGGAAGCTAGTAATGGGAGAATTTCCTCTTAAAAAAGAGAGCCATATGAAATATATTGAAGACTAGATAAATCACATTTTAAAGTATTTTTATTTTTAAAATATAAATTTTAATAATGCCACGAGTTTTTCTAAAATCACCCCTTTTCTTTTGCTTAATCCTCACGTAAAAACTTACATCTTTGATAAAATAAGCAAATTTCCTGCACATGAAGAAAACCATAGACTTAAATTGTCCTCTAATATTTTTAGTCCCGTGTCTTGCACTAGCTCAAATCAAGTGATTCATCAAACTTTAGGAAGACTTATGATCTTAAAACACCCCAATGTTAAAATTGATGATGAATATATTATTAAGCCATTGCAACAAAGACCAAGAACTGAACAGAATTATAATTGCACTTTTCATTAATTTGCAGTTAAAAAATATGAGCTTACAAAAAGATAAGAGGAACTTCAAAAACATTGCTCATTAAAAAGACAGAAAATACGATACAAAAATAACCCTTGGTCACTAATCTAATGGATATGTCCATCTACAGCCCGGGGATTTTAACGGAGTTCAATCCTCGGCCCAATGCCCCAAAACAATTCCTAACCCAAGAGAGAGAGAGATCGTACAATTTCACAAAATTTTAAGACAAGTAGTGACTCATTTGTTCCCAGAGGTCATTAATTGTTTTAATAAAAAGAAAGAAAATATGCTTAGGCATTTGATGCCCAATCGGGATATGGGCATTCATAACCCCACCCAGGTCCAGAGTATCGAACACAATGAAGCCATAAACCTTCTTCATGTACATCGTATCTGCAATTACAAAAGCAATTGTCAAGAGGAAGCTGAAACTCATCTACCATATTAAGAATTGCAAAAAAACCATATCACATTCACATTGTACCTAATCAGGGTATCGAATCCTCAATCCTCAAATCTAGAGAAAGATTGCCGTGTTTTTCTAAAACCAATATAAAGCTCCTAGCCATTTTCCAAGAACTGTAATCTAAAATAAATCACTAAATTACAATAAAGGAGGTTTCCTGTAACTGTTTAGTGACATATCTCTGGAAACTGAATGAAGATCCACATGCAAATTAGGTCCAGATACTTTTGTCATCTAAAAGGTACTGCATTCTTCTTTGTCTCTTACCAGTTCATTTTTAACTTTAATATCATCGTAAATAATACAGTTTTTTTAATGCCTCTTATGGCCATAAAATGTATCTTATAATGATTCAGAACTTAAAGATCTCTCACCCTTTTGGAGCCAAGTTCGGACAATTTGTACACATAGGATCAATTCTGAATTCTTCACTAGAGGTCTCATCTTTATCAAGAAAATTTTCATGAGTAATGGATGTTAGAGAATGGCCTGAACAAGCAGCAGATCTGTCAGCACTCATTCCTTGTGTGGCACAATCAGAAACAGGTTCAGAGAGGTAAAGCATGTCATTGGCAATTGGATGGCCAGTATACTGCAAATGCACACGTATCTGCAGCAGAAGAGATTTTGTAATAGGAAAAATAAGCCTTTATCCCAACCTAAGAAATTCAAATCTATGTAAATCATCTTTCATAATTATACAAGGACTATTATCTTTTCATAATCAACAACTTAAGTGTCACTTAGATTCCCAAGAAGATCCTCCTCTCAAAGTGTTGGCACTATAAATCATATAACATGCATTTGTAGCCTGTAAATTATCTTACTTGATGGGTCCGGCCAGTGATTGGTTTGCACAAGACAATACTGTGAGTTCCATTGGTACTAATCCTGGTAAACTTGGTACAAGCAGCCTTTCCCTTCAAGGGAGTATCACCACAAGAGTCACCAACCTGTACACAACAGAAGATGCTTCTAAATTTTCCTCTACATAAGCCAAATGCCTGATGAGACCTTTATGCGATGGATAATAACACGTGACAGAAAATTTAACTGGGGTATAAGAGTAATGACAAGATCGCTTGCCAAAAGCCACTAGAAACAACTATTACACACAAACTTCATCCCAGGATTAGAAATATGACAAGCGTGGACCATGCACAAAATAGCATCATGTGCTTGCTGAACATATTGCATACTTGAATATCTATTTTCTGATATTCTCTTTTAAATAACTTGGCTTTACCAATAACTAAGAATAGCTTTTCTGTAACAAAAGAAGACTAAGAATGCCACCCATGACACAAATCTAATAAAAAATGAGAATTTTCTGAAGGCCCAGAGCACATCATTCTTTGTTTAAGTTGAGCAACCTACTTGACCTTAAATTATTAACTTCACGACTGCACTTTTGTATGTATACAGCTAGTTGCAGATAGACCCACATTTCAAATCCCAGGACTTAATTTTACAATTGAACTTGTATTAGAAACGAAAATTACAGAGTATAGGCCCAGTTGCCTTCCGGCACAAGTGCCATGACATGCATGCTTCTAGTGCTCTTAATGAGACAAAACGCAAGCACAAAATTCCAATGCCAGTCCCTCAGCACCATCTTGCTATTTCCAGTCTCATGGTGAATGACAACTATATTCCTACAACTATGAAGGGGAGAACAAAAAGCCTCACCTCTGCAGTGCTCCTTCCTGCCCTAGCATCATAATTTATGTTGACATCAACAACTTGCTGAAAAGAGAAGAAAGAAAAATGAAATGTCAGATGGCAACCTTAAGATGACAAAAGCATATCTATCAACTGCCATTATATTTTAAAAATGAAACCATACTCAATTATCAAAATACTACAGATTACCAGAGAGTTTGGGTTAATCTAAATGTTAGATGAAAGCAACAAAAAGTGACTGCAGTTACTTCTATCATTAAGTTGCAATTATAATATCAATCTCTTGCCTTACACTTGGTGTTACAGCATCTCTAACCTACAGTATGAATTTCAAACATTTTGGCTTAAAATGATCAACAATTTAAGTTAATTCAAATACAGTAGAGATTTTGAAGATATTAATAATGCTCAAACTTGTATTACAAAATGAGGATATCTCAATAAAAAGTTAACTAAAAACATCTGTACAGTGATTTTGCAGAACAAAACCTGACCACTCATGCAATTCCAAGCTTAAAGGACATTTACCAAGTAGAGGAACAAAAGAATTATTGTGCACAACGTGAAAAGAAAGGTTCCAACACCAGTAGGGCAGACAGTCACAAATATCTCCCACCTGGGTGGATGATAGAGAAAGCAAAAAAGAGAGATTGGGTGGGGCAAGGAAAAAGCAGTTATGATGTATCTGGAACAAAAACAGTTGGCTGGCAATTATAACAGCAAAATGTCAAATTCAATAGTACAAAGTTTACAAACCAGAGAAAACCAGCTTAGACTATTCTCATTAATAAGTAGAGGTTTGGCACCAATACATTCCATCTTGGGTCTGACTAAGAAAAGATTGGTAGAGAATAAAGTATGAGGAAATATTCAATCTTAAATGTAGGCTTTATCGCCATGGAAAACTGGCAAGATTTAATATGATTTACATGATTACTCTACTTAAAAAAGAGATTACCTCACCCTCTGGAAACACCCCTATAACCTTTGCGACATACTGTTTCTGCACTTTACCAGCTTCAATCTGCCAAAATCGGAATAAAGTTTCAGATTGTAGAAATACGCTATGCAAAACCCTAAGCAGATGCTCAATGTGCCACCAAGGACATTCATGCTTTAAGTAAAATAACGTCACGCATAAAGGCCCACGTTTCCAGCTGTTAAAATAGCCACATCTACATAATAATCAGTAGATACTTCTGAATGGTAATTTATATAGACATGCATCAGTAACATTTCATAGTTCTGTTGCCAGTTAAAGTTACTAATGGAAGAAACTCAGCTTCTGGCTAAATAGAAGTTCCATGAAATCAATATTACAGGGTAAGGCTTACCTGTTGCCTAAACAAGTCAGCTTTAGAAGCATTTCTAGCCAAGATAAGAAGCCCTGAGACAAGACGATCTAATCGATGAACCGCTAACATTTTTGTGTCAAGGAAAAGATAGAGAGCATAACTGGAGCATTTTGTCATAACCAGAAGAAACACATTGAATTAACCGAAAGAAACCTCAATTTCATTCAGCAAGTAGAAAACACCACCAAAAAATATACATGCACTATTCTAATATTTTTTCCGGAAGGCATTACTATGTTTGGATACGAAATAAAGGAGCCAAGCCATACTCTGCCTGAAGAATGCCAACAATTGTGTTCTTACGATATTGACCACATGGATGCACCTGCATAACAGTTAGAACTCGCAAATGTAATATCATGGTGTGAAAGTAAAAGAGATCAATTCATATTGACTTGTGGGAGTGCAGAGAAGTTCACACTTTCCTTCCCATATAACAGATAGGGGATAAATCTATAGGTTTCAAGAATTCTCCAATCATGAACCATAGGACAACAGTCAAATCATAAGCATACTCGATCATGCTATTAATCCCAATAACTAGATCAACATAAAGGTCATAAAAGGAAAAACTCAGAAAAGGAAGACTCTCAGATGTCAATCAATAAATGAATAGAAAATTAAAAAGACTTCCACAGTCTTTCAATTGTCTATCAAGACAAGATGGAATTTCTAGATGCAACTCTATAATGCAAATATGTAAGCAAAATTACATTGCTAAATTGAGTGATATACAAAGCTACCCTTGCACTAATAACTTTTAAGTTTATATAATAAAACAATATTTACAAACTAAGGATTCAACTAGGATTTCTTAGAGTTATTATAGCTATACATAAGAAAGGCCTAGCAAGTAGTTCCTAACATGATAGATGCAAACATGCACACTTACACACACAGAGAAGAGAGACAGCAACAAGTTGAACCATAAAGAGGTTGATTAGTTATATATGCTCAACTAGAATTTCAAATTCCAAAATCAATTCTCATGATGAATGCAGAACATGAAAACAAGCACACATCATTCCTCAGAGCCAACTTACTGGTACAGACGGTGGCTTGCAAACAGTCAGTACATCCGGTTCTTTCTGAAGAATGGAAACTTCCCAAGCCATCACTGGTGGTTCATGCCTACAATATTTGTGACATCAGTTGCATATTGATAACTTCACAAAATACAACTCTAAGCACAAGGAAAAATTCAAATTAAAAAAATCATTTGAGCAGAAAAATACATAAAATAGTTGAAAAAAAAAAATTCAAATCAACAACACATGAACCAATTAAGTTAAACTTAATAAACAAAGCTATCAGATAACTTAAAGAGCAAATAAACCTGTGTAAGAAATGGCTGATTTTCTGTGATGATTTAACTATGTACGAAACTGGCACCATCTCACCATCAACTTGTATCCGTCCACATTTAACGGCACTAACCTAAAGTGTCAACATGTACTTAGCAAACAGTTAAGCTCCCAAAATGAACAATAAAGATTAATCCAAAATCAATTCAATTAGAGAAAAAAAAAAAAATTAAAAAAAAAAAAAAAAAAAAAAAAAAAAAAAAAAAAAAAAAAAAACCTTAACAATATCTAGGAAAATATTCGAAGACATACACGGATGAATGTGGCAATGATCGAGTTCATTAAGACACTTCACTAAATTATTAGAATAAAATCAAAGATTCAGCACAGCGATGAAGGCACACATACCTAGTAACATAAGGTCGGCCTTTGAACTCTTCAGCAAACAAGTCAACGATCGTTTTTCCTGCCCAGCGATTCTTAACCTGAGAACAATTAGTGTAGACCGTATTCAGGATTTTTAGGGTTTTCTCGAAAAAGCATAAACATTGTGATTCTTTCACAACTAAAGCAGCAAGAAGCGAAGGTTAAGAGAGAAAGAACTAACATGAGAGATGAAATCGAAGTAGTACGGTCTGACATGGCGCCCCCTGCATAATTTCCGCCAAATTTGAGATTTCTTATCGTTTAATTTTTTTTTTTTTTTTTTTGGTTTGGTAACAATTAATTGTGGAGTTAACTGAAGGTTAACTAGCTTAAGTTTAATTAGTTTACCATCTCGAAATATATAGTCGTGTTTCTTGGAGGAATCGCTGGCGTCTGCCAAAAAATCTCATATTGTTCTCTTCGGCTTCTCTCTTTCTCTTCTTTTCTAATTTGGCATTTTATTTTGAATAGTCACTTGAAACTGACCAAGTACAAACAAACCATATCAAACGCTGTCGTTAATAACAATAGAAAACGACGTCGGTTAAAGAGCTTTCTTCAACAGTAAAATCGTCGTTTTGCGTGTCGGTTTACTTTGTCAACACTTCGTCTTCTTCAGCTCACCAACAAAACCAATATCAATCCTTTCCCAAACCACCAGAAAGAAAAATAAAAAGAGAAATAAAAAAAAAAAAAAAATTTAAGAAATTCACCACCTAAGCTTGATTGTTAGCTCTACGACTATAAGATCAGGTATATTTTCGTGCATATTTCTTTTATATGTTTTAGATTGCACAAAAGGGTGGATCAATTATTTGAATCGCGATTTAGTTACTGTTTCAGGGCAAGATCTGATGAATTCAAACCCTGAGAGTTGACATACGTGGAACTGATTGATTGGTTGGTAGGAAGAGAAGTCAAGTCAACTGAAACAAATGCCGGAGGAGGATTTGGTTGATATAAAGTTCAGGTTGTACGATGGGTCCGATATCGGTCCCTTCCGTTACTCAGCCACGTCAACGGTCGACATGCTTAAGCAGAGAATCGTCTCTGATTGGCCCAAAGGTTAATCTAAATTTTGTGTGTTATCGATTTGACAACCGTAATTTGACCTAAATTATGATATTAATATGTTTTATGGAGTTGAAATTTTCTACTAGGCTTAATTGTTAAATTTTGAACCAAAGCTCAAATTTGATTATAAGCTTTTGAATTATCATGAGTGAGTGTGTGTATGAGTGCTTATTATTGTATGAGTTTGACACGTTATGTTGAATAATGCAAGTTATTTAACACATTTTAATGATATGAATTGGCCTATGGATGTAAACATTGTTATTTTATTTTGAATATTGCTTGTCTTGGTGAGTTTTGTTGGAATAAATAGGAGTGTAATGTTCGGGGAAATTTGATAAACCTTAAGTTACTAATCACAACTGTTTGGGTTGGGCTGATAGTATGTTGTTGCCTGTAAATTTTAAACCTTCGTACAGAGGAATAATAATTGAGCATTTAAGATTTGATCAACTTGTGTTGACAAATGTCAGGATCGGGACAAGTTTGGTTTCCATCTGTAATTTATTAACCCCTAATTAGGGTGAAAGCAATTGGTTGAATCAGGTGATTGATAGGAGATGTCTTCATTCCAGGGGACTCTTTTGATTTTGTTATTTTTCATGTGCTTATGTTGTGATATTCTAAATACTCTTCTTTTGTCTTTCTTAGGTAAGACAATTGTTCCTAAGGCAGTGAATGAAGTCAAATTGATAAGCTCTGGTAAAATTTTGGAGAATAATAAGACTGTTGGCCAGTGTAAAGTACCTTTTGGTGATGTACCAGGGGGGTTTGTTATAATGCATGTTGTTGTACAGCCATCTCTAGCAAAAACAAAAACAGGTATTTTTCATCGTATCTCAACAGAGAGTCATTGTATTTGTATGATTTTACTTTCTTTGCCCTCAATGGCTTGAAGTGTAACTCATGAATGACACTTTAAATTGGTTTGAATGAACATAAGTAGCATGTGAACCTTGTATGCTGATTGACATGATGCATGAATGACACTTTAAATCGATTTGAGTGGACATAAGTAGCATGTGAACCTTCTATGCTGATTGACATGATGGGAGCTGGGATTGCATGTAATATGATACCCTAACTTTGTATTGTATCTGCAACGGATACATTATGGTATTGATAACTGTTTCTTGGTGAAGTTTTTATATTATTAGATTGATTATTTAATTTGAGCACCTTTTGCTATGTGACATGAGAGTGTTATTGATTGGTTTAAACCTACAGGAAGGTGACTTTTTTTTCTTTTGCTGTCTTTCTTTATGGTCAAAAGGTGCTCTTCTCCTTTCTTGTATTCTACCTATTTCTCCATCAAGATTGGTTAATATGAGAAAATAAGAACCCAAATAAGAAGTTATATTGATTTTGTCTATGATAAGTAATTGGACCAAAATCAGAGTCAGGTCATTACAGGCCTGACCCAAGAAATGGGGAGAGAGTATTATTGATAGATGTTCTCTGTTTCCTGTTATATGTTGTCTTTTAGCAGTGATTAGCCTAAGGTGGAGATTAAGGGTGATATTTATCAGATAATGCTAATATGGTATATGTGGAGACATTGTTTTTTTATTTTTTTCCCCTCTTTAGGAATAAATGCTTCTAGAAAATGTATTGATATAGTCTTGATCTGTACTGTATGTCCTGCTAATTGATAGTAGTTCTTTTTCCCCCAATTTCCTTCTAATAGCTTCCCAACTTTATCCATTTGTGGTTCAGTCCTGAACATCAAGAGCTGTTCGTGTTCATTTGCAACACCTGTTGCTAATATAGTTGGACTTAATTTGCCTTCAACATTTTTGGAGGTGAAAAACCTCACAACCCAGAGTTTATTATTAGTTGACAGATGCTTGGCCTTGGCCCTATTTGTGTGCGTCTATTTTTGCATTTTGTTCCTGCTTTACCCACATGCTATTAGCACTATGATTCACTATACTTGATCTATCAAGTATAAAACACCTTTTCGGTGTGATACTATTTTAAAAATTGACTGGGCTGCAAAATTTATCATATAATTTCTTTTGGCTTGTTGCTGAATCTTTCTTATTCTGACGTATGTATACAATGGTTGTGTACAGAAAAGAAGATTGATGATTCACCAAGGAAAATTGTCTGCTCATGCTCCATATTGTGAAGGAAAAAAAATTAGAGTTGGGGCATTGTTTACCTTGGTATTAATGTCTTAGGTACAGAAATGTTTTCTTTAAGTATCATGTCTTCATTGTGGCTGTATTCATGTGTACAAGTGCTCGGTGGAGTCGGAGATTATGATTTTTCCTTTTCGTTTTCTTTAAATAGCTTGAATTATTGTCAGAGTTAGCAAAGCTGTATAGGCTACTACATGTAAAGACAATCTCAACGAATGGTCAGAGAAATGGCTGTGTTAATGTTGATTTATTTGTCGTTCATTATATTGTATTAGTATTATCACGGCCTAAGTTCTAAAAGACCTCANGATTATGATTTTTCCTTTTCGTTTTCTTTAAATAGCTTGAATTATTGTAAGAGTTAGCAAAGCTGTATAGGCTACTACATGTAAAGACAATCTCAACGAATGTTCAGAGCAATGGCTGTGTTAATGTTGATTTATTGGTCGTTCATTATATTGTATATTTGTATTAGTATTATCACGGCCTAAGTTCTAAAAGACCTCACCAGGTGACAGAAGATATCATTTTTCATGTGTAGTAATTCCCGTTATTATAGAAACACTGAAACAGTGCGTAGCCTGCGGGCCTGACAAGAAAATTCAATAATGGATACCAGCTGACCAATGCTCAGTTAGTAATTCACAGTTCACACTCGAAAGCTACCATAGTACAAGAGGTTTTTAAGTACCAACACATTGCTCACAAATAAGAGAATACTCAAGACTACAAAACGGCTGCATAAACCTAAAAAATGGGCATTCGTGAATCATACCAAAAAAAAAAAAAAAGAGGGAAGGTAAGGTAAGAGGAAAGAAATGGATCAAAGGCTTTAATACATTAATACACTCTAAATCTGCTTCAGAACCTTCTCGGCTGCCGCTATAGTTAGTTGGATATCTTCAGATGTATGTGCCAAGCTTGTAAATCCAGCCTCAAACTGTGAAGGTGCCAAGTATACACCTTCTTCCAGCATTCCCCTATAAAACCTTGCAAACTTTGCAGTGTCACTCTTCTTTGCATCTGCAAAGTTGTTAACAGGCCCTTCTGTAAAGAAAAATCCAAACATCCCGCCAATATATCCTCCACAAATTGCATGCCCAGCCTTCTTACCAACATCAAGTATTCCTTGAATAAGTTCGTTTGTGATCTTATTCAAATATTCGTAAGTTCCAGGCTCCTGCAAACGCTTCAGAGTGTGTATTCCCGCAGTCATTGCCAATGGGTTCCCACTTAAGGTCCCAGCCTGGTACATTGGTCCTGCTGGTGCCACCATCTCCATTATCTCCCTCTTTCCTCCATATGCACCAACTGGCAGACCGCCACCAATGATCTTTCCAAGAGTTGTTAAATCAGGAGTTATGCCAAAATACTCTTGAGCTCCACCATAAGACAAACGAAATCCAGTCATTACTTCATCAAAGATCAGGAGAGCATTATGATGTTTGGTGAGCTGGCGTATGGCATTAAGAAAATCGGGGTTTGGAGCAATGAAGCCAGAATTCCCAACTACAGGTTCAAGGATAATAGCAGCAATCTCTCCTTGGTGAGTCTTAAAGAGATTTTCCACAGCTGAGATATCATTGAAGGGGGCTGTTAGAGTATCTACAGTGGCTCCTTTAGGGACACCGGGGGAGTCAGGGAGCCCTAGGGTGGCAACTCCACTGCCAGCCTGGACTAGAAATGAATTGGCATGCCCATGGTAACAACCCTCAAATTTGATTATCTTTGGCCGTGCAGTGAAAGCACGGGCCAGGCGAACCACACCCATGCATGCTTCTGTGCCCGAGTTAACAAAACGTACCATTTCTATACTTGGAACAGCTGAGATTACCATCTCTGCCAGAACATTCTCTAGAAGACAAGGAGCACCAAAGCTAGTACCTTTCTTCATTGTTTCAGCCAAGGCTGCAAGTACCTGCAAATAACTTGGAAATAAGAAAACAGCTAGTGCTATTATCAGTTGCTAATGACTGGAACACTGATTATTAAGGAAAATTTGACTTATACTAGAAACAGATGTAAAACCTCTTTTTTTTTTCTTTTTCTTTTTCTTTTTTTTTAATCTAAGAACCACATCTGTTTATACGGTGGAAGGCAAATGAGGTAGCACAGGAATTACAGATCCCTATACAGCAAAAAGCTAAAACATCAGTGGCAAGACCAGAGGAAGAATCTTGTTTTGCTGAAAGCACTGAGATTTGTTTGTAGACACACAACATGGATATTNACTCCACTGCCAGCCTGGACTAGAAATGAATTAGCATGCCCATGGTAACAACCCTCAAATTTGATGATCTTTGGCCGTGCAGTGAAAGCACGGGCCAGGCGAACCACACCCATGCATGCTTCTGTGCCCGAGTTAACAAAACGTACCATTTCTATACTTGGAACAGCTGAGATGACCATCTCTGCCAGAACATTCTCTAGAAGACAAGGAGCACCAAAGCTAGTACCTTTCTTCATTGTTTCAGCCAAGGCTGCAAGTACCTGCAAATAACTTGGAAATAAGAAAACAGCTAGTGCTATTATCAGTTGCTAATGACTGGAACACTGATTATTAAGGAAAATTTGACTTATACTAGAAACAGATGTAAAACCTCTTTTTTTTTTCTTTTTCTTTTTCTTTTTTTTTAATCTAAGAACCACATCTGTTTATACGGTGGAAGGCAAATGAGGTAGCACAGGAATTACAGATCCCTATACAGCAAAAAGCTAAAACATCAGTGGCAAGACCAGAGGAAGAATCTTGTTTTGCTGAAAGCACTGAGATTTGTTTGTAGACACACAATTCATGGATATTTTATAGATAAAAATCTACACCGAAGAAGAATAGAACCTCATCATCTGCATGACCAATTATTGCTGGCCCCCAAGAACCAACATAGTCAATGTACTCATTGCCATCGATGTCCCGTATGCGAGAGCCTTTGACAGAATCAAACACGATAGGTTGTCCACCAACAGATTTAAAGGCACGGACAGGTGAATTTACACCTCCAGGCATCAATTCCTGCCAACAGTGTGCCACAAGTTAACAATCAAATAAATTAAACAAAGTATTTGAATGTTAAGAATCTGGAACAAACAATGTAACATGAAAAGAACAAAAGTGGGCCTTTGCCTCCGATACATTTCAAGAACAAATAAGAACAATCAATTTTCAGACTTCGAAAATAGTTCCATCAGGGTGGGGCAGCAATACTGAGTTTAACAATTCATTTCAATTAAATTATAGGTTACAACTACACCACCCATTTCTACCCTTTGAGTAAAGAGAATACCAATACAATGATGCCCTAAAACTCCCAATTCCACTGTTTGATTACCGAAACCAAAGAAATTAGCATTGAACTCCAATCAAAACAGAATAATTAGACGAAATCAAAAGCCCAATGTGATTTAGTCAATCAAAGAATAATCCAATGATAATAAAAGTAAAACGACATAAAATCTACAAAAAACGAGGAGTTTCTATGGTGAATACCTTGGCGACATTGAAAGCTTCTTCAGATTTTTTAAGAGTGAACTTCTTCTTCTTCTCTTCGACGGAGACAGTCATTTTGACGCTATAACGAAGCGATCCAGAAGAATTTCCCTGAGAAATCTTCAATGAACATGAAACCCCTAATCCAGCTCCTACACCTGTAATTGCAGCAGCCATGTTTGCCTATCTCTCTTTCACTTTCTTGATGTTTGTAGTCAAAAGAGATAAGAACCGCAATTGAAAGAACGCACATCAACCTTAACAGCTGACTTGGGCTTTATATACTACTCTCTATTGCGGGTCGGGCTAACTCCATGTCAATCTGGGTTTGGTCCGATTTTATACCAATATTTTAAATATTATTTGTTGTTTTATATAAAATATTAATGTGATATTGATCAGTTAGGCTATGTAAAACTTAAGAATACTTTGTAAGTTTGTATAATCTTGAAAAAAAAGGACATTCTCATCCGCCAGGCGCCAACTCCCCTGTAAAATTTATTTTAATACAATAAACCAACAAATTGTCAAAAAGATAAATGAAAGATACCAAAACAAAACCATGACTCCCACCTGCTCCGCCTAATCACCTTGACCATCACGTAAGTTTTTCATCAGTGATGCCATCAACCACTATAATCTATACTTTAAGCATTCAAAAATAAAGTCAAGAAAGAGAAATCAATAAATCTACGTCCGTATTTAACAAGAATGATTACCTTCAAGCAATTAAATAGAGGCAATAACATTCACTCAAGTCCAGAGAAAGTAGTAGGACTTCTTCTGGGTAACAGGCCCATGGGGTCTCTCTTAGTTATTACTTGGGTTAAAAGTTCATTTGCCATCATCAACTGCCATTCAAACAATATATAAGTTAATATTAACATTTATTTATTTATTGAGATTAAAGGTTAATATTACGGTTTTTATCATGTTCACAGACATATATACAAAAGATAAATTTGTAATATACTTAAAAAGTTAAAGTTATTGCCTTTATATTTTTACATGCATTAAGAGAAGAGTGAGAGACTGAAAAATTTAAGTGTATTGCAAGTAGTTTTTGAATTATCTATTAGCGGTTTTAGACACAGAAATACACAAATTTTGTAATATCTAATTTTTTTTTAATTTCTTATAAATAAAATATATTAATATAAGCAATTTTTTTTTCTATAATTTTAGTATTTACCTTCAAAACACAAATTAAGACTACTGTAATTATTAAATATGAGGAACTTGATCGATTGACATTGTTTTTTCTCTATATACCACTGTTCTCAAATATTCGTCAATTGAGTCTCATGAATCTCACATGTTCCTTGCTAAATTAAAAGAGTGACCAGTTTCTGACCATATTGCATTATATGCTTAATGATTAGAAGTGTGACCAGTTGAACTTTTTTTTTTTATTGATGGGGTGTTCGAAGCAACTTAACACATCTCACTTAATCCTTTAAAACCCTGAAACTCCTGAATAATCAATAGTTTATGTTAAAATTAAAACGAAAAATGCACTAGTTAGCATTTTAACATTGAAATATGAGAGAAAGAAAAGAGTCAATTGGCCGTCACGGAGATATTCAATAAAGCACATTCATGATCCCACGTATATGAATATGCATATAAACTGCAGCATTTAAGTTAAATGTATTGCATGGCGTGATTAGGTTCTAACGAATGGAATAGACAACGAAATTAAATCAAGAGGGAATAGAAGCAAAATCTAAATGTTATCCACGTCGCCCAACCAGAAAAAGAATAACCATTCACCATTCACCAAGATCTCTGCAACATTTGATAACCATTTCCTCTAATTGCAGCTAATAGACTCTCGTATATCCAAAGCATGTAACAATCCAATATAGTAATATTACTATATGTACACAACACGATTAAAAGTCACCATTCACCAAGATCTCTGCAACATTTGATAACCATTTCCGTGTTTCCCCTAATCTATATTTCCCCAACAAAAAAGACCTTTAAAGTGTATAAAACTCAAAATCAAATCAACCCACCTTCCTCTCATAGCTAGGATCGAAACACCAGCACCAACAAAAACATAAAGCAAAAGCAGAACCTCAAAAATAGACAAAGGCAACTAAATGAGTATCAAGTAATTTTAGCTACCAACCTAGTTCTGCTTTATGAGCTTTATATAAATGTTTTGGTTCTTATTGTAATTATTAAGAGCAAGCCACCGATGAAACTGATAGATGGTACCGAAAAGTATTAGCATACTGAAACGAGAGGGTGTCACCATTGACCAAGGGTTTGCCATCGTTAACAAGACAGTCATTATAGGAAAGGCGCTTGAAGATCTTTGGATTGATGAGGTGAGCAGAGCTAAACCAACCACAGGTGATATGAATTCTAGAGATATCACAGCCAGTGTCACACGCATTTGTGATCTCAACAGTGTATGTTGGTATGCCATTTGGAAGAGGGTCCGTAGGTCCTTGGTTAATAACAATATCTGCTGTAGTGCATCTCTTGTCCTTCATGCTGTTTGTTTCCTTCATTAATGAAGCTGTGCAAAAACAGATATAAGAACAAAACAAGTTAACAGACACTTCGTAATTAATAAATTCAGATAGTGAAAGGATGTACTTTCAGAAAATGAATACACACCCGACCGACACCAACCCACCAATACAGTAAACATTTACAGACAAAATACACTTTTTAGAGGTGAATCACAGGAATTATTGGAGAATAAAGAAAGAGACAGAATCAACCCAAAAGCCTAGCTATTACGTGGTGTAGGGGGCCATGATGCTCGTGGCTTTCGCTTTCCCCTGTAGGTAGAATGCGTCATTTTAGCTTTTCAACTCCTTTTTTTATTTGTTAAAAAATCACTCTCTTTCATTTCACATTGATTGTATTTACTTTCCCCTTGTTTTTCAAGTCAAGCTGCCAGCTAGCAAAAAGAAAGGATGCTAATGTGCGCATCCATCAATCACAAGAAGGTGATGAAAGCTGATGGGATATGAAAATCCCATAGAAAATATGCTCTCAATACTAATTGTTAATTTGTTATTACTCAGGTTACCTATTTCCATTGGTTGATAGCTTAGGGCTACCATTTAAACCCAACGGTGCACGTTAGTACCCAGCATAACTGAAAAAAAAAAAAAGGACGTGCACACCTCTGACAAAACAGTAATCGTACGCATTTGCGCGGCGTTTGGACTACGGACCCCTCCGTAAAAGCCAAAAAAATCCTAACAAATGGCTCGTTTCATGACCCCACAGAGGATTATCAATTTGTTGTTCATGAATTATCCTAGAATTACAGCTGAGAATGACCAAAATGGTTGTCTTACCACGATCTAGAAGCTTGCGATGAGGGCCATGGAGTGTGTCGCTGCCTCTCTCAAAGCTTGAACTAATGAAACCACGGCGAACACCCGGATATCCTGAAACAAACAATAAAATAATGAACTACTTTAATAATTTATATATTTAGCGCTTACTAAAAACAAAAGAGAAGAACATAAAGAGAACAAGAACAATGATAAAGAAAAAACAAAGGACCCTCATGTTCCTGAAAGATAGACGAAACCAAACTCCATAAACAAAAGCAAACATTAAAAAATTAGGGAATGTTTGCAGCTCGACAAGTTACAATTTATTATTCGAGGTTCACTTGCTTATACTTATTGTAAAGTGACGAACCTGAGAGAATAGCCAGAAGGAGAAACATTACAACGAGGAGAGCCAAAGCAAGAACCAAAACGAATCGGCGATTAATTAGAGAACCTCTCATCATGAGAAAAAACAGAAGAGAACTCGCTGAGAATCTAATAAAGTCAGTGAAATGGAAAAGAGAAGTGAGCCAGACTCGACGTTGTAACTCGGTCGTTGAATCAACGTTTCACTGTTGTGTCTCTCTCATCTCATCTCGTCCCAGTCTCAGCTGCGTAATAGAAAGGACAGAATTATATTTTAATATATATATATATATATGGTACTGTGTGTATGTATATATCACATCATAATGAGTCAATAAGAAAAACAACCGTCAGATTAGAGAGTAGAGGCGCAGATTTGACTTAAAAGGTTTTTTAAAAGCTAGAAACAGCCAAAACGACGGCAATTTACGACAAACCTGAAGAGGAAACATTCAGCATTCCTGAACACAGTCTCAAAAGTCTTAACTCTTAAGTCTCCATCAAACTGGTTTTACTCGGCAAAAACGAAGAGTTTTCAGCGTTTAAAAATAGTAGGAGTTCTTGAGAGAATAAAAAGAACAAATAAAGCAAGGTATAAGCGTAATTTATTAGTGGTAGAGAAGTATGGAGTATAGACAAAGCAGGGAGCAATGAGAGTGAGTCTGTGTACGAATACAGATTTACAGTACAAATAAAAGAGTAAGATGAAGAGACAAGATTGGCAGCGAAGATCGTGAAAGGCAGAAATGATAAAGCAGTAGAATCCTAAAGTCGATCAACAAGGAACGCGCATTTATCTCAGAGAGAGAGAGAGAGAGTAAGGAGGTCAAGGTGTTTAGTTTTACCTGGTGTGTAGAGAGAACAATCAACACCGAGACGCGTGCGTTTTGGGATGAAAGGAGGTGTAGGAATTGTATTGTTTGTTATTTCTGTTTTATAGTGGAGGTCCTACTCCTGGAGGATGAGGTTTCTAATTAAAAAATTTGAAATAATAAACGGTGCTCGTGGCCGTGCTAATTGAAGATTATTGATGCGCAGAGAGACAAGTGCACGTGTGGGTGTTGACAGATTTTAATGATGTAATTTGCGAGGTTAACACAACATAACATAACGTGTAATAGGAATGGCCATGGGCTTTAATTATTCAGGCAAAAAAAGGACTGCTGCTACAGTTATAAATTTATCTGCCTTAAAGTAGAAACAACTTTTTGTTTGAACTTATACAATCTGGTGTAGGAATTGAAACAATGTGGCTAAATCAATAATGGAGGAGATAAAGACAATGCAGGAAATAGAATGGTTTTTGAAATAACAATGTGACTAAATCAATAATGGAGGAGATAAAGACAATGCTGAAAACACCATATTTAAGTTGATGATTGGAAGAATGATGGCAACTTCGGTATTTTGTTTCAAGTGTTGTTATTGTGAAAATCCAAATTGTGAGTGGGAGAATGATGTAGCAATAGGAGGCTTTGCTTTATCTATTGTGGGGAGTGCATTTGTTACACTAGAAAAGCGGTCTTTCCCTTTTCAGCAATTTTTGTCATAAATACAACAAAATTGTCGCTGTGGTTGTCTTGGCAAGGTCAGAGATCAGGCTGGCCTGCAGCGCAGGCTGCTACTGCCTTGCCTTAAAACTGGTACTAATTACTACCAACCCTAGCTTACCTCTAACCTGTGTTCCCTCCAAACTAGTGAAACAAGTGGGTTGCTATTTGCTATTAAGACTGTAGACCAATCTCATTTCCATTTCATTTCTGACCTTCTCATTATATATATATATGAAGAATTCGATCCTGTAAAATTCACCAAGCGAAAATATCAAGTAACAATAAATTGATTATGCTTTCATTTAACGTGAAACAGTATGATTCATTACTTTAACATGTGTTTGTGTTTTCAGATTAATGGGCTATTCAACGGAAGAGATTCTTTGATCGTTTTTTAAATTTGTAGGATTTTGCTTCAAACAAAATCTTAGTGGCTTATATGAATTCTTTAATCAAGAGATAGTCGACTCACCTTGCTTCTGTAATTGATATATAGAATACAGAATTACATCATTCTGATACAAAATTGGGAGTCAGCAACCGTGCATACTTTAAACTAAATAATTTCTCAGCTGATGTCTTCATAATTTACCTTTTTCACATAACCTATCCCACAACTTACCATTAGTAAACATATAACAGACATTCAACTCCTATGTCACACGTGGCAGTGCTCTCAAAGTTTCGATTAGGCGCTTGGAACCTTCATCCTTTCCAGCAGCTTAATCCTGTCCAGCAATTCCTGGATGGTAGTAGAGGCATCCTACAAAGAGAACAAACTATACAAATGAGATGTCCTATTATTGCAAAGACAAAAGTAAAAGTAAATAACAGTTGGAGAAGTCTAAATTGGAGTCATGTGGGTGATCTGAGCAAGAAAGACCTTTATCCTCTTTCGCAAATTCTCCTCCTCCCTCTCTCGTCGGTCCCTCTCCTCGGACATTATATCAATTAGACTCTCTTGTTCCTTGTTCAATTCATCAATTTTTTGCCATGCCTCTTGGAGCTAACAAAAAACCAGGCAGAAAATAAAAAAGAAAGAGAAAATACATCAGTGTATTTTAGATATCTAACTTGGAAATCTGATTAAAAATATTTCTTAGCTACTGCTCATTTATTAGGAAAAATGCAAAAGAGAAAGCACCTAAAAGGAGGCTCCAAGTAAAAATATCACAATCATTTCTGACACAACTAAAACCAGATACCATAACAAGAAGTCAAGGATTAATAGATGATAGAGCTATACCGCACAAGTACTTGCTGCATTTAGGAGTTTTACAATTAGCACATCAAAATTATAATTTGATAGGTGCATCATTTTTTATATTTCTGGTATATTCCTCATCCATTAATCATTGACGTAAATAGTAATGGCACATACCTGAGCTTCAAGCAACCTACACTTATCGTTTTCACCTAAAAGCTCTCCTTCCTTTTCTTTTAATCTAGTGACAAAAAGATAAATACATAAGTTGATACAATTAATAGAACCATGCATTACAAACGAAAAACATGAGAGAAACCTTCAGTTTAAATAAGGAAGAATAACAACCTCTCCCTCAATGCACAATTCTCTTGCTTCAACTGTTCTAGAGTGCTTGAATTAGAGTCTAAAAGAAAATGCTTGCGATAATTAACATCACCTCCCTGGCATTAAACAAAGGCCATTTAGAATATTCCTACAGGAATCACAGATAGTATCTAAGCCAGTGCTACTCTTTAATCAAAAAGAGATGTGTCAGCATAAAACACACTCATAGAAAAAGAATGAGAGATGTTGAAGACGTATACAACTAGGAAAGAACCTGCGGCTGTGATTGCGACAATGATCGAACAGAACTCCCCCCTGAAGCACAATCTTGCAGGGATTCAATATTGTCAAAGCATGATGTTAGACGAATCCTATGCAACCCATCTTTCTGAAAAGATTTCTCAGTAGGGAATTTATTTTGACTACTGCCATTGACTCTTCTCTCAGGTATCACAACATGTACATCATCATCACTAACATCTTCTGAAGGAGGCGGTGATGGTTCAGAAAGAATTGCTTCTTTTCTTTGTTTTATAGCAGTCTTCACCCTGTTATGGCCTTTGCCAGAAATATGTTCATGCCGATCTCCACCAGTTCCCATTTCAGGAGATTTTTCATGTTCTTTTCCTTCCTGTCTCTGATTTGATTGCAAATGATATTTGTCTGAATTTGAATGTGATATCTTGCCGCCAGAGAGAGAACTCTTCTTAGGTAGAGCAACTGCCCATGGATGATAATCAGAAGATTCTAAAAAGTAAAGATATGGTTGTGAAAGAATGATATGGCTCACTCATTGCAAAAGCTAATTATGTCTGGTTCACAAAGAAAACAAATTTCAACATGTAGGAATTTACCTTTATCTTCAGACCCATTTATTTGTTTCTTATTACGTCTTGCAGCATACCCAATTCTATGACAGTTGGTCCACCTATGTAAAGCAGGAGTTAACCTCAGAAGACACTTGGGAACCTAGAACAACCATTTACTAAATAAAACAAGAAACTGGTACCACTAACCAGTAATTCTTTTGCATCTGTATTAGCCGTGCCTCAAGTCTTGCAAGAACAGTTGTTCTTTCAAAACCCTGCTTATCATGAGCTGGTTCAACAAAATTGGCTTCCAAAAACCCTATCATCAGCAATGAAATGCATAAGAATCAACTTCAAGTCAACTAATTCAGGGAAACTCAGATATTCAAATGCATAAACAATACCTATAACTCCGCGACCATCACTTCCTGCAGGGTTCCAAAGCCTCCAAAATGGCTGAAAACCAACATAGCTCAACAACTTAAAACAATATTTGGATAGAACAAAATCTTGTAATAGGTGTAGATTCAAATATTTGAGAATGCATTGAAACAATTATGAATCTAATTCCAGGGGTATCTATCACAATTCACAAGCATCCAAAAACGCTCAATGTTTCATACCCCATCCCCCAATGTGAAAAATGGCAACTCTTTTATCCTGCTAACAAGATAACTCCCATCTTATAGGATGAAAAACATCAACTTCTATAATAAAATATTAATCTTATCCTTAGACATTGAAACTAATACCTTGAAAGGCAACAACACTTCTTCCTGTCTTTACCACCCCTAATACACTTCATAAATGGGTTTTATACTGTTATATGTTTCATTATAATCATGAACTGTTGCTTTGTTTTGGGTTTTCAAAACTTTTACATTCTTCCAATATACAAAAAATAATAATAATAATAAATAAAAAAATAAAAAAAATCTTTTCATATGAATTACATATCTTGCTCATTGTAGGATAAACCATGCTCATCTGCTTTTGGTGGACACGTACACAAGCAGATAGAGCAGCAAACTAATTCTAAATAAGAATCTTCACAGGGAATGATTGCTACATTAAAAAAAAAGCTCGAACGAATGTGATATGAGTTAGAATTCAAAGAATACCGAACCTTGATGAGTCGATTTTTGTGATAAACATTGAACCCTTGAACATCAATATGATATTTTGCATCCTTCACAAACCCAATAGTCACCACAGCAGTCATCTGATGAAAACAGTTGAAGTATCAGCACCCAATTAACACATCAGAGAGCTGCATGAAAAATAACCATGAAGCATTACATTTAAATCCTTCTGAATCCCATCAGCACCAGGCTGTGGCCGATATGTAATCTCCTGGGACAACGTCATATCATTCACTATATTGTGGTGCTCAACATCTTTTCCACGAAGAATGATTCGAAATCTAGGAGGAAGTCTCAGATAGAGAATTGAAGCATAACTCTGAAAATTGACAACATACTTTTAACCACTAAAAAATAATAATAATAATTCTAAAATCTTTTTTTATTTCCTAAGATCCTTGTTCATACTCTCGTTCTTCAACAAGATTAATGAATATTCTTCTCTCAGTCACAGCATAATATGTGAATTTCTAATTAAATAATTTAGTCAAATGTAACGAATGACATGAAATAACAATGTTTTTTACGACCAAATAAGCAAAAATTTCATATTGACATAATTCTCATCAACTGATTAACCAAGTGGTGAAGGAAAACTTTGACCATTATGATGATACAAATAATGAGTGAAAGAGTTACCCTTAATGAATGTCGATAAGTCAGGAAGTGCCTAGAGTTGGGATACTCTTTCGCCATTTGTATATTCTTCTCATCTCGGTTCACCCCTCTAAGCAGGATATCCTGCCAGGTCATACCAAACAAAAATCAAATTCGTGGAAGGCTTGTCTTAACTTGTATAGGAGATAGAGAATTTTGAGTTAAGAATATCTGATGGAATCCTACTATTTCAACTGAAACACTACGCCAATCATACTAAATAACCGTAACTCAACACAATAATATGCTTCTCAAAATACAAACAAGGCAACAAAGCAACTCAGCAGACAACAATATCAAAGAGAGTAATATATTCAGACTTGATTAATAAGAAAAATGGAGAAGATGACATTTAGTTTTGGAATAAAACAGTATCGCCAGCTGGTCTTCAAGGGCCAGCACCTAGTTTTGGAATAAAACAGTATCGCCAGCTGGTCTTCAAAGGCCAGCACCTCCCAGACTCAATTCATGCACAAAAACAAAAGATATCCCCTACGCCTGCTATTCCTCCCCTTTATTCTGACACCAGGATTCTAACAACTAACAAGACACCTGTCCCCATATGCTTTACCCCTTTTGCCCCTTCCTCCCATTTCCTATCTTATGCTAATACCATTTGGATATCTCGGATCCATCAATATCATTTGAATCCAGTCACAGAACAAAGTGATCTAGAATTAGAAGAAGGAAACAGGACACATACATGCTTATCAGTGTCAAAATCGAGTTCCAACTGTCCCTGGTCATCCTCCCAAAGATTGTATATAATAATGCGTGTACCATGATCTTTCATCCGATCAAACTGCAAATTACAGGGGCCAACAACTTAATCACAACAAAGAACCACATGGAAAAAATAAGGTTGGAAAAGCCAAAACTAAAAAACATAAAGTAGCTCAGTTATAAAAAAATAATAATAATAATCAATAAAGCATTAGTAATCCTCACAGATAGACACACAAGAGATAAACTGCAAAAAAAAATTTGAGAAACTGAAATAGAAGACATAAAGTTCAACATTAATAATAGTAACTCACCTGATGGAGGAGGTCTGCTTCACTTGGAAATGGAGACCACCGAATTATTGTTTCCACATTTATATTCCAGTCGGCAGGAGAAGAACGTATAATCTTCTTCCATTCTTGTCCACTTCTTTCATAGTCAAGCTTTTAATTTCAATGCACAAAAAACAAAAAATCAAAAGCATATAACATAAGCATAAGTTTCACAAAAGCTCAAAACCAAGAAGACATGAACAACATTTCACAATTAACACAGTAAAGAGTTATATTAAAGTTGCATGTGCATGAGCAGATTATTGTTATAGCATTAAATATTATGCATCATGTGATCACACAAATTACAAATACCAAATTGTGAATATAAAATCAAGCAACAGCAACTGGGTGTACATAAAGTCTCAAACTCAGGTGCCAAAGGAATTCTTAATAGGTAAAAAACAGAAAAAATTAACACCCGAGATGATTCAATATTATAAACCATGAATTGTGGGAACTTGCACAATGACAACCATAAACACATGCAGAACAAAAAAAAACCTAGCAGTAAAAAAAAAAAGCAAGCAACAGTTTCTGCTTTCTGCTTTAAAATCAACAGTATGTCATATTTTCCAAATTATAACCTTGCATTGGTTGATTTATTGATTTAATGTAGAAAAATGAGAACAATCATAATAGGATGAATAGTTATTTGTGATGCGCTCTAATACACACGAAAGCTTTCTTTTGTTATTACCATGGGCACTACTATATCTTCCTTTCCTGTGCTCCTCAAAAATGTGTAGGACAGCAATCCAATACTTTGAGTAGGGCTATAATCAACATCAAAAAATTCAATTAGTTAATATATAAAATCAAACTATTGTTTAAGTAAAATGTTTTATCAAACACCATAGAGAAATGCATAATAAACAAAGTAAAACCAATAAATATTCATGCTGAAAGGAAGAATATTCTTCCAAAAAGATTCTATATAATACAGGTTTACAAATATAACACAAATGCCCGTCCCCTCTTAATAATATTTATAAACATAAATCATTAGTTCTATAATATATTTTCTTTCTTTCTCCATTTTTTCTTCTTTTTCACTGGATCGTAATATCTAAAGTTCTGTTTTTCAAATAAAAACACTGTTTCCATTATTGATGCCAGTAAAATAGAAAAGCTTTGACATTCTCTGATAAAAGTAACAGTGTGAAAATGCTAGTTCCACAAAGCAATATCCTCAAAACTTAAACAGGTCAGACAGCAGAACTATTAGTTCTGCTGTCTGACCTTTTATGACCAAAATTTGAAAGAGTAATATAAATACACAATTAAAAGAAAAAAATTGAAGACAAACCTTTTTCCATCTTTTCCATAACAACGTGAAAACACTATAACATCTGCTCCAAGTCTCATGGTGCTTGTCTTAAATCCATTGCCATCTGATAGATCAGAAAAATATATCTAAATGTTCCACAGAATTAAGAACCAAACAACTTTGAAGAAACATTCCTTCGAAAGAATAGAAGTTTACATTGTCCAATGGTGTTCGCTACTTTGCTTTTTGCAGAATAACCAAGAGACATGCAATGTCGCATTTTATCAGGAGCCATGCCACCACCATTATCTGCAGCACCAATAAAATAATAACTCCAAAGACATGATGAAGAACTTGAACATAATTTTGACATCTTAGTATTGAAAAACAGACAGACTACGTCAAAAAGGAAGGCCTGAATACAAGAGAAGACAAAGCCTATACTTAATACCTTCAATCAGCAACATTTTGCTCCCATCCTTCCTACTTTCAAGCATATCAATATTAACATATGTAGCTCCATTGCAGACCTAACAAAAAAGGAAGTAAAACTATCAACATGGAGAATATAATGTCTATGTGGAATTACTTGAAATGTATTCAACCAAAAGTACCTCATCCAACGAGTTGTCCAAAAGTTCTGCAAATGCTGTAAATAGAATGACATAGGTCATTACAAAACTAGAAACTTATAATGAGCCCAAGAAAAAGGTTCTGTTGAAACATAAAAATAGAGTCAAGACTTGTCCATATCTTTACCTCCAAGAGCCCATTTATGACTGGTTGCATTTGAATGTAGAAATTTGGGATGAACCCTCACATGATCCATGCCACCTGTGAATCCAAAGATATACGAGAGGGCAAGCATTTATCAAAATGAAAGAATAGTAACACACTAATTCAGAATTTCATAGCGATTCTACGAGGTATAGAAAGTCAGCCAGTCAAGAAGGAACACATTCAAAAAATGTGTCTCTAATAAGAAAAGCAGAGATTGCAGCAACAAAAATAAAAAAATAAAGAGAAAATTTTAGAAATGCATGCATGAGCAACTAATTCTATAATATCTTCTTCAATATCTCCCTAACTTAAATTATTGAACCAGATAAATGCAACTATTGTGCTAAAAATCTATCATCGAAATCCAAGTATCCAAATTTTCCACTCAGATGTTAACCATCACAACCTTTACAACCATTTCCCTGTAAAAGTTATGCTTCCACAGGCTCACCATAATGCTGACTATTGATGGAAATAAGCATAACCCATATGACCTCGTCCCTAACCACTCGAAAATCAAAGTCTGTTAACCCATGATAGGCTTAAATATTTCTCATCTAAAATCACATGACAATCACAGTATATCTACTTGGTACTCTATTCTTTTCCCAAAAAAAATGCCAAACTTCCCATAGAGATTTCACATAAGACCGCAACCACAGAAAAAGGGCCACAACTTATCATTGACAGCCTCATCTACAAGAAAAGAGCGGAGTGTAGGATGTAATCCGAAGGCATCAAAAGTACATTGAGAACTAGTAAATTTCAGAGAGACGTGTCGATTATTTCAACACCCCATGTGTTTAACTTTTTATTTTTATGTTTATGATACAAAAACATAGTTCTTTTTTCAGAAAAATCAAAGTTTGGCAGACCTGAACAATGTAAGGTTACAGTTGATGGTGTGATTAATCATAATCTTGATCTTTGTAAACCCACCAACCTATTTTTAGCAAGTAAAATTACAAAAATAGAAACATTACCAGAAAAGAAGTCCCAATCACCAGATGGAGCTCCTTCATAGTCACCTGCCTTCCAAAACTGCTTACAGCTCTGCAATCCCGTCCTTACCGCAGTATCAATCGCAGCCTCTCGCCGCGGTTCGGACATTTGGAGTGGTTCCGCAAACCCCAATGGCAACGCCACTCCTAAATCGTCCAGCTTCTTTCTCCTTTTCTTTCTCTTGTTGGCGTCGCATGTTGGATCACCGGCCGACTCGGACTCCGACTCAGAGTCAGACTCGGACTCGCTACTGCTACTGCTACTGAGTTGGAAAATCGAAACGATTTGTCTCGAAACGTTGTCGTCTCGCTTAGACTGTGGTGTGGCTGACATTCCTACAATATTTTGCTTTACATCTACGTCCATTGTGAAGAAAGTAAGATTAAGGAAAACTTTCAATATGAAAGCGAGATTCAAAATGCAACTTAAGCTTAGCCTTTTGGCTTAAAGTTGCAAAGAAGTTGGGGATTGCACGGAGGGTGAACAGTAAGGTTGCACAGACTATTTCTGTAACGTTGGATTATCGTTTCTTCGGAATCGGAAATCATGCAAACCAGCACCGCTGTACTCTAAGAACGTCAGAACAAGCAAAAGCCTAAGCGGCGCGTGTGGAGAATCATAAATGAACGCGCAAGCAGAGAGCGAATGTTACACGCAAGCAAAGAGATAATGGAAACCGCCTAGAGAACCGTCCATTATACTGCGTTTAGGTTTAGCAGGCCGTTTTTCAAATATTGAAATAATCCAAAGGGTATTTTTAAAAGGTGATTTTAACAGACATTTGTACTTGTTAATAAAAAAGAGAAGTTGACATTAAACATGTTAAAAAGTTAATTATATTAAGGTTACATTGCTTAAGGAAAAAATACTTTGGTACAGTATAAGTATATTTTAAATTTACTTTTCAGTTCAATTTAAAGATATACAGGACAAAAACATATGAGGTGGATTGAGGGGCGCGTGGGCATCAGTTTGTCCAAGTAATTAAAGATTATTAGACAAGTGTCATGCCGTTATTATTTGTTGTCTCATTGTAAAATATGTTTTGCAGGAGTCAACAGCCAGTTTTCTTGAGCATGCACGCCATACAGAACATGTTCGTCAAGCTTCTTATGTTGAATGCAAATCATATTGTCGTGGGATCACTTAAATCAACACAGATGACATGGAGAATCAGCAATAAATGTGAAACTGTTGCAACCCAGAAATTAGCTTAAAGAGCACTGGGGAACATTTGTTTTTTTTTTTTCCTTTTTTTGATTATGTTTTGGTTGAATTGAACTAGGCCACTCATGTTTAGTTGTTTTGAATAACGTTGGAAACTAAACTAAGTAGTTTCATTATATTGAAAATTTTATTTTCTTAAACTTTTAAAAGTATTACATAGAGTTTGATAAGTCTTACTTAAACTTGTTTAATTTTTTCTTTTTTCTTTTTTTTTTGATAACAGGATGTCCAGATCAGTTTGTGTGTAATCTCAATAATTTTCAGGATTCATTAAATACTTTACAAGCTCAAAAGATCATGTAAGTCATTGTTATTATGGTAGGTGGTCCAAAGATTTAAACTCAAAGAAATTACCAAACTTCTTTGACACGAGACCAACTCCGTAAGATTATTAATTAGTATTTGAGTGAAACTAACTATAGTACAATTCCTTTATAGTCTCAAGTTTCACTAACACTGTTTAGCTTCTTTTTTTTTTTTTTTTTTTTCTTAAATATCATCTATTCCTGGATTATTATCCACTATGTTCATTTTTTTTTTTTTTTTTTTTTTGAAGATCCAAAATGGATGGAGCTTCTTGATTGCACATATTCTTTATAGTTATACTGTTAAATTCTAGTTAATTAGTTTGGAATTACCAAAAAAGAAAAGACTGTTTCGAGTTAACCCATTTTGACGAGGCCTTTCAACGGGCCTCTTGTTTGGTATTTGATGGCTTTGATTGGACTTCGTAATGGGCTTCTTTGTTGAACTATTTTAAAAGGATTATCTGGGGAAAAACCTCGTAGAGAACTTGTCCATATCAGTTTAACTTGTATGCATCAATAATAAATGAGAAGACCAAAGAGTATCCCCCTTTTTCACAATTTTAGACAATCACGATTGCAGGGAACCAAACTACATAACAGTGACACAACCGCATTTGCGGACCCAAAAATTCGAGCATTCACACAATGAATGCAAGGACTATTTTAAAAGATTACAAGCTTCACGTTCAAGCATCATTCATCAATGATCATGTTCTTCCTTAATGCCTAAAATTTCGGCTTTTTTTTTGGTGGGTGGTTGTATACGGGTATACAAATTATCATATGACATAATACATGTTTGTTATAAAATCATTTAAATATCTCAATAACATAAATAATCCTAATAGTATACAAATATATGTGATTTCTTTGTCTAATCATCATTACAATATCTAAAATCAATTTATATGTAAACAAGTAATGATTTTCATCTTGTTATTTTGGAGCAAGAAATCCCGATTCCGGCAACCGCGTGTTGATTAACAATGTGTTCTCCATTGTTGCATGAATATTGGTGAACCTATACATTTAAAGAATGGAGTTAGAATCTTGACTATGTTTATTAGATCATGTTTAATTTATAAAATATTATTGCTTGTTATACCAAAAGTGCAGGCGGAATTATATCAGCGAGAATGATCTCATCTCCCATGTTAGCTTTATTAAATTTCTACACTCATCAAGCCACCAGGTATTTAACACGTGCGCTTTTACCTCATAAATTAATCAAAGATTCAAAAACAAGTTTTTATATTACATGTTAATTGGTACTTTGCAATTCATTTATTCATAAATCTAACTCACAGATTTAATTAATATATATATATATATATATATATATATTAATTGTGCGAATAAAAAGGCAAAACTTTGACTACATACGAAACAAAATATAAACAAATTGATGAGATCATCAAGAAATGAACATATTGATATATTATTAAGAAATGAGATGCAATACAAATTTGATTCCTCAATATATAACCAAGTCTTGAATTATCCAGTCTCTATAAAAATTATGTACAAAAATGTATCAACCATCAATCCCTTCAATTTGTTTTAAACTTAAGTACCTGTGATTTTTCTCATTTTAAACTTCTCATGAAATTAATTTCAGAAATTCCGATAATTATTTCATAAGATTTATCGAAAAATCTCTTTTCAAGTGAAAATTTTCAACCATTTTTTGGAATTAAATTTTATATTACTAAAGCATCAAAACCTCATTGGACGTAAATAAAAATTTGCCATTTAGTATACAAACTAACTATTGACTCTTATCTTAAATCTATTAATACAGATAATACTCATACTAGACGAATTGAAGTTGCTTTATGATCCAGGAGGCTAGCATCAAATTTTGCGACGTGTTGCCACAAGGCCCACAACAATAACTATGAAGATGCGATTGCAAGTTGCAAGAGATTAATCATCATTGGGTGGTCAAACGGTCAATTAAGACTTTTGAGTGTATTACTCAGAGGTCTTGAGTTCGATTCACTTCGATCCTTAATAAGGATGACCATTAAAGGCTTATCGATCATTTTTTATGATTTCAAAAGATTAATGAGAACGCGTAAATTAACTCAAACATCCCGTCATTAGAAAAAGAAAAAAAGTTGCAAGAGACTTGAATTTTTTTATTTTTTTTTTTGTCTTTGGTCTTGTTGTTTTTTTTTTTGATGGGTTTGTCGTAAGAAAGAGTTTAGTGGACTCCCATACAAATGGTCTATGAGAGTATGGGGATGGTGGCTATAAATTGGTCAATTGTTTAGGCACACAGACTTGATAGAGTGAAAGTTGAATATTGATGAGTCCTCCAAAAAAAAAAAAAAAAAAAAGGTAAAAAGAGGATAAGGTGGACATCGTGTTAATTTGTACATAGCAGGCACTGGTCACATATGGCGGCCTAACGTTATTCATATGTGGTGGCCTCTCATTATTTTAACTAACCTACATATATATATAACATGCTTTCTTCTACTATATTATAACGACTGGAGTAATAACAAATTAAGGATCCCGGTTGCTTAGTGGTGATGAAATAACCTTCTGGTGTAGAGTTTTACTTAATGATTTTGTGGTTATACTGTCTATGTCCATAATCAGGACTAGCTTTCAAATTGCATTTTAAAGCAAGTAATTAATTGAGTCAAGTCGAGTAAAAGTAAATGAAGATGGAGGGCCACTGCATGCTTTTTAATTAGGAGTTTATCAAATACAAGCAAGTTTTATCCATGGACAAGTTGGGTTTAGAATTTGATAGATAACTTTAAATTTCGTCATTGGTGCGTAGAATATGATGATTCATGCTCATGAACCAGCCAAGCTCCAAAAACGAATATAAGTTAACAAAAAATGTCTTTCAACTTCCACGGCTGCAATAAATTATATATATTTATAAAACACAAAGCTTGTCGTAGTCTCTGATGATATATATTCAAATTCAACCACATATAACCTGTCACTACTTGCCATCTGCATATATAAAGTCTCCAATTTCTTAAAAGAAATTTCCCACAAGTTTGTACGTAGTGTAGGCATCTTCTGCAGTTGAATCGGTGGAAGTAATGAAACAAATCTCTATCTTTCATGTATAGCGTACTAGTTAACCGCTAAAGACCCGACCCACATTGCTTTCTTGACTTCAGTGTACAAGTGAGTGCATGGCAATACCTAATACACATGTTAGCTGAAACCAGTTGATTTTTCATTACGGAGTACAGACTTTTATGTTTTTTTATTATTTTTGACGTAAAATATTTTTTTTATTTAAGTTTGTTACTTAATAATTTCTTAAAGATGAAGATAATGTCATGCGTGACAAATTAAATTGTAATGGAGTGACAGAGTTAGTAGAAAGAAATTTCCCTTTAAGCATTACTATCAAAGGCTCGAGTGGCTAGCCATTTCTAGAACAACGAAATCGTAGTTCTCGTGCTCTTTATTTTATTTTCTATATCAGAAAGCAAGGCATGAAGTTCAGCTAATATTGGTTAATAATCCAAGATGTACTATTAATACATTTGTTTTTTGGCATTTGCTTTAGATTTAATAACCGAAGATCTCTATTGCATTGTCATTATATAATGAAAAAGGCTTGCTCGAGAAATTTAGGTATGCTAATTAATTTGAAATTAAATACACAAGTGGTTGGTGACAGAATTTAGGATTAATTCCGATACCAAGTAGATTTATTTATTGGTTTACCAAATAATTAATTCTCTGGGAAACTTGACACCAATCACACTAAAATATAGATTTATTATTGGTTTACCAAAATAATTAATTCTCTGGGAAACTTGACAAAAATATTTCCCTTAATTTGATTAATCTTATCCATATAATTTGTAAAAAATAAACATATATTTTATATTGTCTTTTTTTTGCCCAGTACTACACGGAGACATAGAAGTGTGGGTTCTGCATGTGATAATATGATTGGTTATATAATCAAATATTCAAAACTGGAGCAGCAAGCATCCAGCGTTGACAAATTCAGTATTATTACGATTGGTCATGGGAATGGCCGTGTGGGGCTATATAATGGTGTTGCATCTCCTTCTAAGAATATCCTATCACCCAATCTTAATAAATAATTATATGCTTCAACTTCAACGCATCTCAAGAAGCTCTAGAGTTTCTTGTGAGATACTCTACCTTCTTCAATCTTTCTCTTCTCATATTGAATTCCA